GCGCTGCGTTTCCCGCCGGGGACGCCGCCAGGCTGGTCCTCCACGGCCTCGCCCGCCGCCCGCCTTGCCCAGCGGCTCTGGCTTTTCTGTGTGACTCTGTGTTCGCCTGTGCTCGTGGGTGGAGTGGCCGGTCTGGAGAGGGAACTGAGTCACAGGGCCCGAGTCCCACGCGCCGTGGGAGCTGGGAGTGGCTTGGCCTCCCTCAGGCCCGAGCCCGCGCTTGGTGCGTGAAGCCCGCCTCTCGCCTGCGCGGCGCCATCCGGACATTTCACGTCGTGGGCCCACTCCGGGCGGCCTCCTGTCCGCCCTCCCGAGCGTCTTGTGTTCCAGACCCTTCCATGCCTTAGCTCCCGTTTTCACAGCTGAGTGATCTCCACGTGTGTCAGAGCTTCCTCTTCGTCAGCTGGCGGACGCCAGGGTTTTGCGCCTTTGCCCGCTGTGAACAGTCCCGGTGAACACGCAGCTGCCGTGGGCACCTCCAGGAGGTCGCTCCCCTCGCAGGTCCTCGGCCCGGCCCTGGCTGGTGGCCGAGCCAGCGTGGCTAGGACTCGGCTTCCCCAGCATCCCGATCGCCGGACACTCATGGTAGGGACGTGACGGCCGCGTCCCTGGCTTGGGGGGAGTGGGGGCAGCACGCCCCCCACCGGCTTATGTTCCGCTCGCAGCCGGTGGGGGCACGAGCCTCTTCTAGGTCGCCTTCAGCTCACACCCCTGCCAGGGCGGCACGTGCTGGTGTGTCTTGCTCTCGTGCCCTTCACTGTGGACCCGGGCTTGGGGGTGCTGGTTCTGTTAACCCCACACCTTGGGGGAGCGGCGACGGTTGCCCGGTGCTCCCGGCGGCCCCTCTGGCTGGCGGCTGTGTGTGTCCCCGGGGTGGGCAGCCCTCGGGGAACCCCTGTTCCCACGGGGAAGGCCTGCGAGCGGTGGCTCTGGTGACCCCCCACGCCGAGCCTGCGTGGTCACGGCCCGGAGGTGTCCCCAGCACAGAGGGTCTTCTGTCTCCACGGGGTTCAGTTTGTCCCTTTTCTTCGGCTGCTTGTACTTTCAGTGTCTCGTCTAAGAAGCCGTTGCCTGACGCCAGGAAACAAAGATTCATCTCTGTTTCCCTGACGTTTTCGCTCTGGTGTGTAAGGCCTCGACCGTTTTAGCTTCTGTACGAGGTGCGGGAAGTGTGGAGCTGGGCCCTTGGCATGGCCGTGCCCCTGCGCCGCTGGGTGGGCAGACTTGGCCACAGCCGGCTGCTGAGAGGCCTGGGGGCGGGTCTGGGCCTGTCCCCACCTCCTGCTTGGGGTCTGCACGCTGCCGGCGCGCCGAGCCGGGGGCTCACGGCGACTTGAGTCGGGACTGGATCTGCTGTTCGCCAGTTTCGACCCTTCCGGGTTTCTGAGGTTTCGTGTTTTGGAGCCTGTGGGTTTCCACAGAGAAGCCAGCGGAGGCCCCGACGGCGGGGGCGGGGTGCGGAGCTGAGTATTGGGCTGGCGAGCGTGGCAGGGCTCACGCGCCGGCGAGGGTGGCAGGGCTCACGCGCCGGCGAGGGTGGCAGGGCTCACGCGCGCCCCGGGAGTGCCTCTCAGCACTCTTGCACGTTTCGTCGGTGAGAGCGGCGCTCCTGCTTGCGCTCAGTGTGTTGCTCTGACGTGGTGGTGGACGGGATTCCCGCCTCCGTGCCCTTTCCGGCTCCGTCACTGCTGGCCTAGGAACAGTCAGCGTCGCGCGCCGGTCTTCTGTCCTGTATCTTGCCCAGTCGTTACTGCAGTGCAGCTCTGGGGGGTCCTGCAGTGTCTCTGCCCGAGATCGTGTCCCCTCCCGCCCTGCCAGGTTGGGGGCCCCGTGGGTTTGTTCTGTAGTTCGTCGATTGACTCTCAGATCGTAAACCAACTTAGCGTCTCTGCTAAGTCCTCTTGGTGGTTTAGGGTTTCTCTTCGGATGTCCGCCTTCGGGCGTCTGGTTACTCCGTGGACCTGCGTAGGTAGGCTTCAGGATGAACGTTCTCTTCACATCTCTGGGGCTCGTACCGGGGAGTAGAATTGCCGGTCATCGGCAGCTCTCTTTGCTCCCCAGTCCTCCGGCACAGCCGTTGCCTTGAAGAATGTGTTCCGGAGGCCAGAGCCCAGTGGGTGCGGGCCGTGGGCCCCAGTAGCGGGTGCTTTCCGGGCGTGTGGTGGGGCTGTGCCCGGGGCTGCTGCTGGTTGCGGGCTGTGCCAGGCTGCTGGTTCCCCGTTGGGAAATGAGGACTCTGGAGCGCGAGAGCTGTGTGAGCGGCGTCTGCACCGGCACGCATGGCCTCACCCCTGGGCGCGCCAAGCAGGCCTGCGCGGCCAGCGGCTGTGCGCCCGCTTCTACTCCGGGGTCCCCTGTGCTCCGTGCGGCTGTGACGTCTGTGCGCGGCGGGGTCCCCGCAGTCACCCCCGCCTTCCTCTGCAGGCCTCCTCGCTGGAGAGGCAGAGCGCCGGGGCGGCCTCCTGCCTCGCTCACACTCACAGCCTGTGTCCTGGGGAGCCCGGCCTGCAGACAGCAGCAGGTGCGTCCCCCGCCCCCGCGGCTGGGTGGCTCCCGGGGAGAGGGGTGAGGACGTAGGGGAGGTGTGGCCGGCACCCAGAGCCTGTGCCGCCGCCCCCGTGCCGCTTTGGCTGACCGGGCTCGGCTCCTCTTTTGTTTGTTTTAAAACTCAGCTTCTTGGAGCTCATCGTGGAGAGGTAGCGGTGAGCACACCCTACTCTCTGGGAAACCCTGACGCTGCCAACCCGCGCCATCGTGGGGGCCTGGGCCTGCTGAGGGAGGTGAAGGGAAGGGCACCCGCTGACCTGTGCTGCCCGGCAGTCTGCCCAGCCCACTGGCGCACAGTGGGACCAAGCGTCACCCCGGTGTCGGGAGCCCAGGGCCTCCCGCGTGACACCGGTGCCCGAGGCCAGGCAGGGCCTCTCCGGGTGCCTGACTTAGCTGGCACTCACCTCTGTCCTAGCCCCTTGCCCCCCATCACCGGACACGTGGCCCCCCCAAGAGAGCACGTCTCCAGGCCCCGGGGTGCGCGTGCCAGGTGCGCCCTGCCGCCAGGCCCCCCGTGCACACGCATGCTTGCCAGCGGGCGCCACTGGGCGGCCCCACCACCGCCGGCCCCGGCCGCCCCCGCCGGCCTCAGACAGGAGGATCGGGGCCGGCCGCTGGCGCTCACGACTGGCCCTCACGTGGTGTGCCCGCAGGCCGCCCGTTCAACCTCGCGGAGATCCTGGCTCAGAACTACGGCGTCCGGGAGGAGTGCGAGGCGGCGGCCGGCGGCCTGGAGAAGCCCGAGGAGGAGCTGGGGAAGCATTTCATCGCCCAGGTACTGGGTTGCGTGGGCCTGAGCCCGGCGTGTGCCCGCAGGCCGCCCGGCCCTGTGCACAGACGCTCGGCCCAGGGCGTGACCTTGCCGTGAGCTTTACTCGGCTGTTAAGAACCAAAAGCCTCTCGTGTCCTCGTCTCAGACAAATCGGGGAGAACCTCATCGTTCCTGGCGGAGTGAAGACCATCGAGGCCAACGGGCGCATGGTGATCCCCGGGGGCATCGACGTCAACACGTACCTGCAGAAGCCCTCGCAGGGCATGACCGCGGCCGACGACTTCTTCCAGGGCACCAGGGCGGCCCTGGCGGGCGGGACCACCATGATCAGTGAGTGGCCGTCTCACCGCCTCAGCACCCCCACGCCCCTGTCCCTGCTGGGCCCCTGCTGCGGCCTCTTGCGGCCTGGCTGGTGTCTTGTTAGTAGCCGCTTCTGCTCACACTCCACTGGGGAATGATTTTCACTAAAGCGCAGTTGAACTTACCTGCTCCTTCACCTGCTGGACTTGCACGTTTAGGGGGTGGGGTGGGGGGGCTGATATGATGGTGAAGGGATGGCGCTGAAGAGGCCGCCCAGGAGCCACTCGGGCCCTAAGCAGCCTGGTACATGACACGGATTTTCCTGCCCAGTTGACCACGTGGTCCCTGACCCTGGGTCCAGCCTGCTGACCTCCTTTGAGAAGTGGCACGAAGCGGCCGACACCAAGTCCTGCTGCGACTACTCCCTGCACGTGGACATCACGAGCTGGCACGACGGCGTCCGGGAGGAGCTGGAGGTGCTGGTGCAGGACAAAGGTCAGTGGGCCGGACGGGCGGGGCTCTGAAAATCTCTTCCTTTTTCTTCAACGCCGCT